ACATCGGCTACTTATGAATACTTGATAATCCTTATCTATCCTTTCTCTTTATCTATACCATCTACTTTATTCATAGTTTGATACGTAAAATTTAGTTTTAATTCCAACCGCTACTGATATTCTAATCTTATTCTTTGCTGCATCGGTAACGTTGGGAATGACATTAAAACAACCATTAGAATAAAATGCATATCAGGTGAGCATACTTGTATAGCATTTTCTACTTTATCAACTGTAACTAAGACAACAATATATTACCATCGGATATAAATTTACCAAAATTCATTTGCATATCGGTCGATCTAAATTTCCTCTTCCTGAAATTATAAAGCACGTTCAATTTTTGTTCACTATCTATATAAGTCATCTTTATTTTTTAATATCACTGTTATACGTTATGACATCATTTATCAAACCAAAAAATAATTAAACACGTGAAAACCATCGCTTACCAGATTCCATAAAGGTAGTTCCACTAATTTAATACAGTTTGTCTCTATCTCACAATACTATACTGATGCTTTGAGTAATCGAAGTAAGGTTAAAAAAATAATTATATAAGTCTATCTATCTATCATCACCATTACCATCTACTAAACATCTGACTAACTTTTCACTCAAGGAAGATTCTGTAGACTAAACAATGAACCTATTACGCATAAGTTACGCACGTTCGCGTTTATATTTCAGCATCGAACGGTATTAAGGAACCATGACGAAGTAAAACGAGTATGAATGAAAATTTCGACGGGCGTATAATAAAGTGGTTTTCGCTTCTCGAAGTTCCGACGAGGGGTCGTCCCGTGCATAATTCTGGACACGGACCTCGTGTAAAACACGCGTGTGCACAAAGGCTGCCATGTTCAAGTGACACAACAGAAAAACCGATTACACGGACGAGAGAGAAAGTGAGAGAGTTGATTTCCCCCGAAAAATAAGGAGGAGGAAAATGAGCTAGAAGGCGAGAGGAGTTGCGTCGCCGCAGCTGCCCGTGGCGAATCCGTTTTTAGCCCCGCGTTGGGGTTGCAGGAATCCCCTGGATCTAGCGCAGTCCATCATCCTCGTCGACGACTTGTCAACTCCATTAAGTTATGAGCAGGCATGTGCGAATATTTCGACAGTTTTCATCTTCTGCGTCCTCGAACTCGGAATTCGATTCGCTGTTTGCACGCCAACGAATTGATGTCTTGAGTGGCTGAAATGAGGTTAGAAAAACGTATAGAGTTATTATCTGCTGAAATCAGGTAAGAAAGATAAACATATAGAGTTGTTATTATTAGTTAATATATTGGCACACTATTTTTAGAGTTTTTGATATATATCTGTGATAACTTGAAAAATACGTGTGTTAACAATAGTTTGTTTATATTTAAATAGAAAATAGAAAATTTGTGAGAAGACGAGAGGGTGATCAGATTAAAAGTAACTTTTGTTCTAACTATCACACCAGAATCCTTGTGTACAATAATTTACCAACTAATAATATTAGCAAACTGACAAGTTATAGGTTATAAATTATAGACTTCTTCTTTGAAGTTTTATAAGTTTTTTGTTATATAATTCTTGCAAAATTTCGTTAACTTTATTACTAGATTCGTTGATCTTACGCAAGAATATTTATCAAATGATAAATACCTTGCAAGTTATAACTTGTAAAATTTCATTAAAGTCATTAGTTCGATCGTGCAAAAGGAACCAAGTATCCAAATACCTAAAAACCAAGTACCAAATCTATCATATCCAATCTAATTGGAGAATTCAAAATTCGGTACCAAAGGCCAAGGAACTAGCCAAAAGATTTCAATTTTCCAATCTGCGGACAAACAACTGAACAGAGAACAAATAAGGGAGGACGAAAAACAAAGACATATCAAAAAACGGGGGAAAAAGGGCGAAAGGGGGAGTCTTCCCCCATTCTATAACGTGGAGTGCACGGTAAAGGAAGGGAGTAAATATCATTACGTGGCTGCGGCGCGATTCGATTAAAACGCTATTCACGTGTATCTAGCCGAGGTCCGCATAAACCTCGAATATAAACTGGCCGATAGTAAAGCGGCGTAACGTAATTCTGGCCGGGCTGAAAAGCGGCGGGGTGTTCGTACAAAAGGAGAAGGGCTGCTGCTGCTGCGGTGGTGGGCCAGAACGTGACGCAGCGTGACTCGTTTACTCGCTACGCTGGCACAATGCGTTCGTCAGTGGCGTAACATACCATGTACATATATACAGGGTGTTTCAGAACTACTAGTCCATTATGTGAGGGCTGATAAGAGCAGTTGTAAATAACATTTTTTGCCTGATAAACGTATGTACATATATATATATATATACATACAACGTGGTTTTAAGTTTTAATAACGAAGTTTCAAGAGCGCAGGTTTTGAGCATTTGCCAATGAGCAATCCACTTTATAACTTTATGGATCGTTTTCATGACGTTTCAGTGAAATCTGAAATAGGAAATTGTGTATGTATCGTTTCATATGTAAAGTATGCTGTTCCCTATTTTGTCCCTTAAATATCGGTAAAATTTATAGTTTTGCAGTATTTCATACCAAATATTCGTGAATTGACAATTTTAACACTGCTGGAAACCTTTTAACTACTTACTATATTTTGTGGCGGCACTCAACAGCAAATACCACCACTGGACACTTACTAGAGTCGAACGACAGCAGCGTAGTGGTTAGCGCCTTAGATTACGAACGTTCGGAACCCAGGTTCAAATCCCGGCGACCGGAGTCTGATTTTTCTTCTATCACGGACAACACTACTTACACCTTAACTTTTCCATTCTCTCATCACATTTGGAAAAGTACTGTAACAAAATGCAAGAACAGAATATTCTTATTCTTCATATATCATCAAACAATAATAATCCGTTTCTTACTTCACACTTAACAACTGCTCATTCCAAACAGATCATGCTCGTTACCAAACGTATCAACTCGTATCCATAACTCGCGTGTATAGCTGTATTCCTAAGAAAGTAAAGCAACATCAATTGCATATTCCTTAGACAAAAATATTCCTATATTCTCAATCCTTACCATTCACCAATCTAATTGACCTATAATTCTGAGACACCGCATATATATACGAAGACACGTGCACACAGGGATCGGGCATTGTTGAGGCAACTATCCAACGAACGGTAGCTGGTGCAAGATGCATTCGTAGTCGGTCCCGTATTCATCTTGCGCGTTGCACTCGGCCGAATCCTCGTCTGGCGAGCGCGGTAACCGCGCGTGTATTCAGTTTTCTACCAGGCATTAACGCGCCGGGCCTCCGTGCTCCCATGAAACTGATTGATTACGCGCGCTCTCCGCTCCATCGCCGCGCCGATACCGCGCGCTCGTTTCATGCGCGCCGCTGAAAGAGAAGCCGATGGATGCCTTTTCAAGCGCGCGCGATCTTGCCCACTTTTACCAACCTCCTCCTCTCACCATTCAGATTCCCTTTCTCTTTCCTACTCTTGTCTTTGATGTTTAATACACTGCCGCCAAGCTGCCCTCTTTCGACATTACGCATCTACTTACTACTTTGTTGCGATCCTCTCGCGGAACGTTTCTCGTTTCACGCTATTTGTTGCACTAGATATTGCGAGGTTACCGTCAGATGTTTATAGGCTAGGAATTTATCAGAGTTCCGCTGGACGAATTGAATTCGAAACTTTGTTCAAAACGTTAGAAACGTGGCTTAATATTAGTCTTTCCTCTCGTGATTTCTTACCATAACGTTCTATATTCTTTTGGAAGGATAGCTAACTTTTGGAAAAACAGCAGCTTCTTGCACAATGATACAGAATAGTCGTGTAATTCGTTCCTTCGTTTGTTTTATTGCGAAGTTTGTTAATGTATGCAAGTATTATACCTGTGCAAGAGGACTCAATTAATCATGGTAATCAAAATTTAATGAATATATTCAATTTGGAAATAACATTACTTTGAAAAATATCATATAAGTTGACCTATAATCGAATAAACACTTGTGCGCACTGAAATACGAACATTTCAGAGATATGGACACTTTTTTTGGTTCTTAAAAACTTCCCACTGTCGTGCCATAATATATTTTCGTGCAGAGTGCAGCAAATGCTCGAAACGGGTCGTTGATTTTCTGCGATCGTGCTATGGGCGGTAAATAAATAAGACGCGAATATTGTCAACTCCCGTGGTACATATTTCATAAGGGCAGGGACGAGCAAGTCCTGAATTTCTGATTATATTAACGTAACCAGAATCAATTCTTTGCGATGCCCGTTACCCCTCGGTCGACTGTATTATACGATTACAATTAGTAGCACCCCCTGCGTATTCCCTGATTACATCAGAAACGAACCTCCAGAGGCTGCACAATTGGGTAGTTATCGATATTGGGGTACAGGATGTTTTGTTCGCGGGGAGTTAAACGTTATGACTTTTTCCTCGTTACGCCAACTTGCGTGATCTAGGATATTTTAGCGATGTACTGGCAAAGAAGGAATCAAAGCTGAAAATTTGATAACGTGCATATGTATACATAGTTGAAGATTTATTACTCGGAAACCTCTACAAGGTAACAATTTTGTTCAAATTAATTCATTTCTCTAAAATTAAATAAAAGTTACTTTAACTCGAGTTATTTGCCATAGGTCCAGATACATTATTTTACATCCGTACCTCGAGTTTGGAATAGCCAGGTCTCTACACGCTGCTGCCCCTGCGACTCGAAGTGCACCTATAGCTATGTGTCACAGCATGTGAGAAAGCAATTATTCTTCCAACCGTTGGGATTGTCTCAAATAAAATAAGACGTTGCAAGCGGTATTCCTACCTCGTCGCTGTTCGACTACGTGTACATTCATGGAAGGTAACCGTTTTTCATTAGTCGAATGAATAACTGTCGTTATCTAGATATACTTAAGATAAATACATTAAAATAAATTTATATAATATAATACATAAAATAAATTTGTTACTGTGACCTGTCGGCGTCCTGTTGATACCGATACGTCACATTACAAAGTAAATAATTCCAACCCAGAAAATCACCTTATAAACGCCAAACAGCTAATAAAACTGCACTAACCGCAGGCCCCTCTTACGCTGACAATTTGCTAAAAAATGCCATCACACTGAGCTGCGCAGGTAAGCAAACAACTACCCGAAAAAATCCCCAAATACCGATAGAAAAGAATAGCCGGGGAAATAGCAAACTGGAGTAGAGGATATAATTTATGGACAATCGCAGGATCGACTCGATGTTATTTCTCTGCGGAAACAGCGACGACATCTTCATTCAAGGAGCCACTAGCTTCGAGAGAGCTATGGTGCCGATTCATCGTGTGCACAATTCGTCTCGTTCCTATTCACTCGCACGAAAAACGGAGTCAATGGGCCGTCGTCCTTGTGTTCGTTCCGGCTCCAGGCTTATTATTATGGCCCGAATTATTTCGGCAATAGCGGCCAGTAGCTACAGGTGCACCCGTTCATGGATACGTCGTTCAGGACACATTCAGCGACATTCGGTCATTGAGAAGAGAAGTTTTTGCCGATGACGAATCGTAGGAAGCGACCGATCCTCTGGGGAGGAAGCGTAAAAAGGATCTGCCGGCATTCAACGATCCGTTCGTCCAGAACGGCCGACTCCCATCGATGGAAAGCATCCTGATTCTCCTTTTACATCGAATAATCGAGCAACGGTGTAATTGTGAAGTTGGAAGCACGCTGTTCACCGACAATGTGCACATTTGTCAGGAGAACAGTATCGATGAGCACTTCATTTCTCGAGATCGTGGAAAGTCCTCGAAAGCACACGCCCAGGTTATTCCAGCTGTGATTTGGAAAGTCTTGTATGGTGTTTTGGATTTATTTGAGTTTTGTATAATTCATATGTTGGTATCTTTGTTGTGTATTCCTGGAATTTAGAAATGTTTCTTTGTTAGAAATTGGGTATTAAGTTACTGGTGAATGATGGTTATTGGATGAATCTGAGGATGTAAGTTATGGTTCATGTTGTAAAAATATGTACGTTAGTAACAATTAGCCGTTTGCTTCTTTTCGACAGTAAACTTAGGAATATCATGAAAAATCTTAAAATTGAATATCAACTATGAATGGACAATGAAATTGAAATATGTAGCTACAAGAAGTCTGACATCTCGGATAGTTCTATTCATAAAAATGGCCTCGTAGATATTTGTCCATTTTCCAACTGCTTCTTTGTGGTTCCTAGCTTTCAATGAAAACTTCCTCTACTGCGCCTTAATTTGTGATCCTGGCATCGTCATCAACCCTTGTAGACCTGCACGTTCACCGTGTGGTCATCCGTTATGGTTACCGGGCAAGTCACTGAAATCTTTGTCCGGAACGATCCGAACGCCGATGCAACGAACGTTAATGAGTATTGATGTCCTCGCAATCGATCGACCGCCGCGATACCGCTTAGCGGAACTCGCATCACGCGGAAAACTTCCACGTAGCCGTATAATACGCTCCATATCGATGATTGAACCATTGATATAGTTATCGATACGAGACATTTGCGATTATTTTTAAAAGGAGATGCGTTTTGAAAATGTTAAAAAGTCGACTGAAGGCTCATTGAACATATTCAAATTTCTTTTGGAACATGTTAAAGAGTAATAACAGTTTTTCCGAGATGAGTTCTTTAAGCTGTGTAAATTGTGAAATTTTTGACATGGACATAAATGTTAATCGAACATCTCAAGCTTGTAGGTCAAATCAAAAGGTGTAATATATATATAAATATAAATGTTTGCTAGCATCTATTTGCAAACAGTGTTCGTGAACTATTTCGTCGACAAGACACGTCTTTAAAAAGAGTATATACGAGTGAACCATCAAGGTGATGCAAATTCGTGCGAACTGCGAAGACTAAAGGGTACCTGCACGCGATTCTACCCTCTTGATCGCGATCTTTCGGCAATCCCTCGCTAGTCGTTGGTTGTAGCGTGGATCAGCGCGCAGAGGTAGCGCACAAGATGACGTGCGGCAAACATCAAAGCGTTCGACATCTTTTTAAGGCCGCCACCGCCTTAGAACTCGTTGAACTGGCTCCTCCTTTCTCTCTTCCCTTCGTGATTCCACTGTATTCGTCTATCTTCATCGCGTATCGTTTCTCTGCCGTTCTCCTCATCGAACTGACTCGTGAAGGATCTCGACGATGCTGCCGTGTGCGTATATATTTTTTTCTTTCTGTCTTTCCTTCTGCGTTTCGTTCTTTTTCTTGGTCTTGTTAGGTGTTCAGTGTTCTTTCTCCCAGTTGATGAACTTGGCCTGGATAAGGATATACGCAGCTATGTATTTCGTATGCATAACCGCGCAGACGTTCGACTGATTGTGAGTAATGAGGGGAAGGGAGTATACGAAAGCGAATGGTGATCGTCTTTTACCTTGATTTCTACCGTTTCTTTGCCGCGGTTTCCACTTTCGTCGATACGAATCTTGTTTTAAACGATTTTATTCTCTTGACTCATAGCATCGAGCTGCAGTTATGGTACGATGATCAATAGCGGAAAATTATATTTGTAGTTTCAAGTTTCATTAAAACGTGGTATTTTCTTGTATAACTCCTCTTTCCTTATATCTCTATTATCCTTCACGATATTTACGCAAGCATTCGATCAATCATTTATTTTATCACGCGTGTCAATTGCATCTAAAATTAAAATAAGTTTCATTAAATTTTTCTCAGCGGAAAACCTTCAAATCGAAGGACTGTGTAATGAACTTATTGTTTTAATTCTTTGCAGGTGTAAATAGTAATATCTACGATTATAGAATAAAATTAACTTCTAAACAGTAATGCTCCTGATCGATTCATATGCAATAATTAATATGATATTTTCTCAAAAAAAAAAGAACGTAACAATACAAAAATCTATCTTCATGAAAGCGTTCGTGTTACAGGAAACCTTTATGCCGTTACAAGGTCTAACCTGACGCACGCAAACAAGCAGCAGAAAATGGTCCTGCCAGGCTTACCCGGTAAAACGGCGCTGGCAATTTTGGGAAAAATTCCGGACAACGATTCAGGTTCGGTCTTGACACCTTTTGTCAACGGAGGATCATCTTCGATGGCGTGTCCTTTAAAATCAGATAGCGAGTCCAGAGTAGCACTGGCATCGCGGTAGGCAACTTGATATTGTTCGGTCAGGCAGGTTAGACTCTGTAGGATCGTAGAAAAGAGATTAAGGGTATCCAAATATCCAAGTCCTGGTTAATAACGAGGCTAAGCAGCAAGCAGCGAGTATCGTTCTAAAGTCTTGGCCTATTTTACAGCTACGTCTGTACCGCTGGCACCGTTTATCGCCACTGGTTGTCCTAACCTCTACAAAAGACGCCTCGTATCCTGGCACCTTGCACTTCTCAGCCATCCTCGTTTTTCACGGATTCATTACACTTAACGGAAGATTTATTATTTAAAAAGGATTACCGTTAATTCGACAGATACTTGGCTCTCCAACAAGAACAGAAGGCTTGTTCCTAGGGAAGATAAGAAATAAGCGATTATCCTTTTGGGTTTTAACCAAAAATTGAAAGATGCTAACGTTGCATGAGATTTTTGAGTTTGTGGAATGAAGTACCGTTGGAAGTTTTGCATGGTAAAGTTTGAGAATTAAGTTGTCTGTTTCATGAATATTTAGTTAGGAATATTATTCTTTGATCTGTCAAAAGTAATTGACTTTACATTATCGCTAGTTTAAGAAATAAAAATAATGTAGACGCGAAATCTCAACAACATCTTTCATCACTCGTGTCATGACTCATTATCTCTTTGTCAACCGTATATCTTTCGTTTTTCTGCGCACGAATGAAACAAGTTTCAACGATATTCGTGCTTCTTACGATTTCACTTTCAATCTTATATTATTTTTTTCCTTTAATCCTCGTGTTCGCGATAAGATTGCACCCTTCTTATTTTGCTATTCTTTATCTGGCCCGCTTAAAAAAAAAAAAAAAATCGTTCAAACTCGATAGAGGACGAATACGTACACGAGGGGGAATGTTAGAAATTCCTGGTCGTATAGTGTAACGCTCCGTTGACACGATGATGGATCGTCCACCTTGACCGGACAGGTAGTCGTACATTCACACTAGCGCGCTGAAAGTGTATAATCGTGGCGGCACGCAGATACCTTTACAAGGGTCAACAACTCCATCAAAACGTGAAAATCATCTGATACGATGTTCGACCCGGTTGCTGGCAAACTTGCCATGCGATGAACCTTAACACATTCACGAAATCCAGTGTTACATGATCGTTCTCAATAAACAATAGACGTACATATACATATGTATATATTTAATTATGAATACACATATGTGTATATTCATAATTATATAAATATTGTAAATATAAATATTCTACACTTCATGAATGTAAATATTCGTTTATATAAGTACATCTAAATAACGTTTATTATTTCCTCTCTTCTGTTATATAAATTATTATCATAATAATAGTAGATTCCATCTTTCAAGGAATATTCTTGGAATAAATGTATACATACAATATCTATTCGTACATTTAAACAAGATCTAAAGAGATATTGTTATCTTTATCATCATAAAATTATTACTAAGTCATGCTGTATTACTTAACGTTTATTTTTATCGAATCTCAAAATCGTAAAATCTTCACAACGACTTTGAAGAACCATTTGTGATCATTTTTATCAAAAGATGGTACTAATAGATCCAATTATTAGTATCCAATTATCCTGAACAATAAAGTTTAGTCACCATTTCTAATACCTGTACAGAACTTGGGAATGAAGTTGTGAAAATACGAGGAGCGCGTCGGAATTCTATCCGTAAATGCGTATTAATTCCTTAGCCACAGTCATGTTATAGGATTCCCGCAAACTAGATTCGGGTTTGAAGAAGAATGGACGAAGGGTGAGCGATTACAATAAAGGTCTTTGCACGAGCAGCTAAGAGTTAAGTCGTGGGTAATAATTACCGATCCCTCGTTAGCACTGCCAATAGAGTGCCTCGCCCACCTGCCCACGGTTATAATAATATAAGCCGCCTCTTTTGCGGTTCGCAGCCCTCGCACGTGCCGTAGTCGGGAGTCTCCTTTATTCGTTTTCTGCCCTTCGTTTCTCACCCTTTGTGTGATCGACCGCTGCATCGGTACTTCCACTCTATATCTCTCTGTTCGTCCTTCCTACAAGATTTACAGATTTCTAAAAGAGATTCTTGAAGTTGTGTCAATAATTTTTAAGTTATGGTCAAACCGTTGGCAAACAGGTTAGGGTCAGATATCTTGGAATCTTTCTTTTGGTAGGTGTTAGTTATCTTAATTTTACGAATGAAATTTTATTGATTTAGGATGACAAAGTTATGTATGCTGTGTTTTTTTCGGGTTTAGTTTAGATCTGTGACTTTGGTGAGTTGAATTTTATTACTATTTTGCTAATCATCGCAAAGTGTTATAACAATGTCAGAGAATATTTTGAAATTATAGACTGCGAGGAGAGCTTCGGAGGGATAAATTTAATTATACGGAGTTAAATAATGGGTAACGAGATTGTCACATGAAAAAATACGGACACGTCAGCAAGAAAAACAGAAAGTAGGAATTCAGGTTATGTTTTAATTCTTCGTGTTCTTGTACAAGCAACAAGATTCTTGTTCAATTAATTGCGTTATTCAGAAACGATCAATCAGCAATTAGCTATGTACTGTCCAGCCTGGGGTGAGCAGACCATGCAATCTAAAACAGACTAGGACATGGTGCATGATACAATTATAAATTATCTCGGTGGATTATTCGTCTTGAACGAAATGTATCATTAAATCATTAGTACTTTATACACATCGGTAACAATTATCAATAAAATCTGTATTCATCCAGATGTACAATTGTTTTATCGTATTTTATTAATGTACAGATACTCCAGACAGATTTTAGGGGGTTGGCCCTTAACAAGAAACTTCTACAATTATGAGATTAAAAATGATCAAAGACAAATCAATTCCAGTTACATAGATTTTAGTCTTTTCATCCTGTACAAAGATGGAACGACACGCAGAAAAATAGAAGATTCCTAAATGAAGAAATTATAACTATTCCGAGGGAGTGACAGTCCAAATGACAAATCGTCATCTAATAAACATCTGCAGTCTACTCTATACAAAGCAAATATTCTCTCGCCAATGATACTCATACGACAAAAGAATCTTCTCTAATCCAAGCAACGTGCAAACGATCTAAAGCAGTATCACGAACAACCGGAGATATTGACTCTAATTATGGATCTTGAGACCTTGACCACCCCTGTTCGGTACATTTACGTCGGCCTCGAGCGTTCTCGCGGTTTATTTTTCCCTGCCAATTTGCAACGAGAGGTTGGGCCCGCGAAAGACGCCTTTGGCGGAACAAGATGGAGAACACGCAAGAGGAAAACCGGTGCGTCTCGAACGAAGAGGACGAAGAGGACGAGGAGGAAGGTACAGGAAGAAAAAAGAGATCGATCTGGTCACACATGACAATGTACGACGAAGGCATGATGGATGAGGGGGCGGCTAGTTTACGTGATCGGGACATGATCGCCGGCAAACGGGGTGGTCCGTCTGTCCATGTCCACTCAGTTTTCTCTTTCTTTCGCACGAGGCTGGCTCGTCCCCGCGTCTTTCGCCCTTCCTGCGCCTCGAATGCAACACACGCGCGTACGAACGCACCCCTGTCACTGGTCTGACCGATCTTGTTGTCGTATTCGACGGACGCGACCGTATAGCTGGGAAGAGCTGCTCCCTTACTGGGTCCTGCGTGCCAGCCAGTGCCTTTTATGCCGTGTTCACACCACATATCGACGAAAAACGGTCGTGAGCATGTTCGCGATGCTAGAAAATGAGATGGTCTCTTATTTCTTATCAATAAATTGTTTTTGGATGTTAGATTTTTAGTTTTAACGAAAAGAGAAACCAATGATGTGCTTCGATAACGTTAGATTTATATACTAAAATTCTTCGTAACTCAGTTTTGTTGCAATTCAACTAAAATGCTTTATCAAAAAATTACGTCCAATATGCCAGACAACAACTAATTTATCGCAAAATACCAACGCTACACTTGCGACTATCGTATATGACTATTTCACCACACAATCAAAGATCGATTTTCTGCTACAAATTCCATCCTCCCAATCTATCAGCACCGCTCTACCAAACCCGTAACTTCAAAGGCCCTCTCAACGAATCAAATCGATCAATACGATCTGGAAGATCGTTCGCCAGGTTCCATGTTGTTTCGGGGTCTCTCGTTCTACGGTTTAAAATTCAGATCGTTCCACCGACTTGGTCGTTCGCCTTACCGCGTTCCATACGGCTCCTTCACTCTCTCTCTCTCTCTTCTTCTTATACTAGATTTTCATACGGAACGCGACGAAATGCCGCTGAAATTCGTACGGACGTGGTGGATAGAAGCGGATGAAACTCACGCTGTGACGCGTTACGAGCGTACGGGAGCACGCAGCGACTTTTTTGACGAAGGAACGAATCACGGGAGAAGTTTTAGAGGTCCACGCGGAGAAACCAGTAGCCCCTCGTCGAAGTATCCCGCTGACCTTTCTTTCCTTCTCTCGTCTGCTCGATTCTCTCTTTAACAGTGGTGGATCGTCGTGAAGTTCTGACACAAGGAATGCTTTGCTTGATGCCGAGAACGAACCAAGCTACCTTGTTCGTGCTACCGGCCCGAAACGCGAACCTCCAAACGTCTTCCTCCTGTCGTTCCTCTTTGATTCTATGCTGCGCCGCGTCTTGTTCCGATGTTACGTTTCTGGCAGCGACGTTGATTCTTTAGACTTTAGATATATCAGAGCGAGCCGCGCGAAACCATCGTACGCTGTCTAGTTTGAAGAATTCTTAATTAAATCTCGATTGGACGTTCTTTTGGCAGCGCTTGAAACGAAGGGAACCACGCTCGCTGTGATGTGGATCATTGGGTCTGGGATGAGTGTACGAGGTGATGGGGCTATTAGTAGGTTTTTCTCTGTCTTCTTGAGCGTTCTTATACGGTATGGAAAGATCGCGATAAGGTATAGCGAGGAACTTTAAGAAAGTCTTCCAATTAGTTAGAGTACACACTTACGTACAGTAGAATCTCGACTAACCGACGTGATGCGGATCGGATCTACCTTGGATAATCGAAAATTCGGATAATACAGAAAGTTTTATTAGCGTTTATAAATCGTATAATAAGATCGTAGAAAACATATTGCCAATGTAATATTGTGCTCGTATTTAGGTGTAATTCATTGTTTAATCGGTCGAAAGATTGATTCGCTGCTTTCACGATGTGCCTAACTATTAACGTTTTCGTACTATACGAGTTAAAATTGAAATTTGAAAAAGATGAAGTTATGGTAAAGTTCAAAACACCTCGGATAATGCGAAATTTCGATTAAACGGTACTCGGATAACCGAGACTCCACCGTATTTATGGGGAAAATTTGTTCGATTTGAACTATTTAAACCGTTTTTAATCTAAAGATTTGAACATTCGAAGTAGTTGTTAATTTATCGTATTAACTAACTTCGAATTCTATGATTTTAGAAATGTCTAACAGAGGGATGATTCGATCAACAGTATAACTAAAATCATAAGGAAATATAAAGGAATCCAATCAACCATAAGCATGTTAAACGTATGCAATACATTTCTTCATCTAACACAAAATTTAGCAAACTCTAAATTCAACTTACGAGAATGGAATACCTGGCGGTGTCATTATCGGCTTTTCATTCGTAAAATATTACGACGTTACAATCGTGGCCGTGCGATAACGCAGAAGGGCAATCAAGAAAATTACGGTTAAGGATGTTAAACCACGAGGGCATAAGGAACGAAGGGGATGGCTGGGGTTTTAGGATAGAGTCGAGTTCGGATCGACGTTTTCCCTCCTATCGAGACAAATGCACGAGCCTGATATCCGCGTAGAAGCGTCTATCGATCCTGGCCGTCGAAGGTCATTCGTTTTCATCCTAAATCCAGCGAGATTGAGGGACGCGACTCGATAAATGCCGGCGCAGAAATTGATTTAGAAGATTTTCACGGATCGTTTGCCCGCGCGGAACCCGTGGACAGAGAAACGGAGAACGCGTGTCGTTGTGCGACTCCACGTCGATGTGTAACGTGCTCGATCACACACAGATGACCAATCAGGGAGCCAACTGTTTTCCAAGAGTTGGGAAACCGAGAATGGTCCGCTGTTGTTATCGTGTTCCCTATACGTGCCCCCTCAATGATCCTTCTCCAACAGATTCCTTCTGTTCTCGAGCTGCGTTTTATAGCGCCTCGTACATTCTCGCGTCTTAACCATGCCAAAACCCCTCGATCATTTTCAACCGTG